CCCACGGGCCAGGTGTGAGCCCTGGGGAGCATCTCTGGGGTGGACATGGCTGTGGCCGACAGGGCTCTGCCTCTCCTGCACCAGGACTTGTCCAAGCCCTCGGGCCACCTTTGCGTCCATCCTGAGTCCCCAGCTGCTTCAGCAATGGGTCGCTGCTGTGCTCACCCAAATCCACGAGTTGGTGGGCCCACAAAAGCCCGGCCCGCAATGGGCAGGGGCAGGTGCCCAGGTAATTGACGCCCTGTGGCTGCCTCCAGAGTCCTTCCCACTGGCGTTCTCGTCGGGCTAGCGTGGCCTCTTCCCTGAGCTGCCAGGACAGTGCTCTGAGGTGGCCTCACAGACGGAGCGGGTCAGCACGGCCGGGGCGAGACGCAAAGGGATTTCAAGGGCCCTTCCCTACTGATGTTGAGAATAACGTTTTGCTGAATCAAGAGCCACTGTTTTAGTAAAGGCACCGCACCTATCACACCGCTCTGATGAGGCCCCTTAATTTAATCTTCAGGATCCCCCATCTTCCAGCATTGTCGGTTTTGATTTTTCAGGCGCCCTATCAGTGATTTATTTAATCCTCAGGATCCCTCATCTTCCAGCATCGTCGGTTTTGATTTTTCAGGCGCCCTATCAGTGATTTCAGGGGGAAATGATTGAGACCACCGCCTGCCATTCTTCAGGTCTGCAAGGGTGGCGGGGTCTCCTCACTGCTCCTGGGAGATGCTGCTCTGCGTTTCTGGGGAGGGGAGCGGCTGTTTCAGGAGCTTCCATGTGGGTCTTCTCACCGTGAGGTTTCTACTGCGCAGGTCAAGGGGCCTTGGTGGGCTCTTGTGGCAGGTGCACGCTCATTCCAGCGATTCTCAGGGACAAAATAAAATACGGAAAGGAACGGAGAGGGGACCAAGCTCCACTCACTGCCTGGCTGCAGACGCCCACCCTCAGCGGGCCCAGGTGGCGTTTCCAATCCCAGTCGGCATCACACGGACCCTGTAAGACCCAGCAACTGTAGGGCACTGGCTGGGGCTCTCGGCTTCCCTGGTTGGGGTGGGGGTGGCTCACGCTTACTGGGCATCACAAGGGCCTTCCTGTGTCACTGGATCCTGCGTCCAAGACTGGATGAGGGCTCAGGGCCCTCCACTGCAGCCTCCAGGTCCCCAGGCTGACCCTTTCTGCCTGCAAGTCCAGCAGGACGGTCATGGGCCGCCCTTTTTCCTTACCTCCTCTGGGTCCACCAACCGTCCTGCGGCCCCTCTGACCCTGGCCTGGCCACCACCCTGGCCGGGCCCCCTGGGAGAGGGTGCGTCCACATGGCTCCTAGACTACAGGATTCCAGAATCTAAATTGCTCCTGTGGCATTTAGCCCTGCAGCTGCATCCCTGCCCACCAGCCTGGCCTTCCCAGCAGGCCAGGGCCGTCCTGACTGGTGCCCTCTGCCCGTCCTGGAGACCACGGTCAGGAGGTGGGTCCTTGGGAAGTCGCCCGATTCCAGCGTGTGTTCTGGTCTGGGTCTCCCGTCCCTTCCCAGTCTCAGGGACTTGGCTCCAGCACGGCATTCTCCACGGTAGATCAGCACCGTTTTCTGTAAAGGGCCGCATGGTAAGAATTTCAGGCTTTCAGACCACAGGGTCCCTGTCTTGACTCAACCCAGCCGTGGGACTGAGAGCAGCCGTAGTAAAACGTGAAGGAAGAATGCGGCTGCGTGCCAGGAGAACTTTGGAAGATCAGGTTGCGGACAGGACTTGGTTCACAGGCCAGAGTTTGCTAACCTCTGCCTGGGGCCTTCACTGCCACCGTCTCTGACACGTGCATTTCCGCAGATCTTTCAAATTCTTTCAGAATATTCTTAAACTGATGTGTTCCAGCTTTTGTTCATGCCAGGTGAGCAAATGAAAACCTTGCAGTTACAACTGTGAGATCATTTCTGAGTGAACTGATTCCTAAGCTTGTAGACATTCTGTAGCCAAATAAATCATATTGACCAAATTGTGTGTTTTTTTAAGTGATTTTGGTGTTCATGGCCCATATTAAAAGTGCCATAAAAATATAGTATCTGAAGCATTTGAGCTATATGAAATATTTTTTTATTGGTGATAAACATTAAAATATGAATCTAGAGATTTGAAAACATTCTCACTTTATAAATATTGTCTTGTAAGTAAAAACATAAAATCAACGGGGATTCCAGTATTATCTTCAAATATAATAAGCTTTCTGATTTCACATATTGTCTACATATGTGAGGCAATTCCCTTGTTTAGCCATTTTGAAGATCATTTTTAAGCCGTTGATGCTCTGTATTTCCAGAGTGTGGGCCACACTGAGAGATACTTTTCATGTAAACATCCATAAGTCAGACCAGCAGCTTCATCAGATCACGTGGGACAACTCCCATGGGTCCAGCAGTATTTATGCGGGACTTCTCAGAGCCTTTGCTGTGAAAGCACGCACTACGCCTTTCAGAGGTGACACCAAGGATGTGTCACCCCCAACACCCAGGTGATCGTGGACCTGAGGACATGTCACCCCCAACACCCAGGTGATCGTGGATCTGAGGACGTGTCACCCCCAACACTCAGGTGATCGTGGATCTGAGGACGTGTCACCCCCAACACCCAGGTGATCGTGGACCTGAGGACATGTCACCCCCGACACCTGGGTGATCGTGGACCCGTTGGTAGTTGAGAGTGTTGGAGGCCACACTTTGGAAATTGGTTTAGAAAATATGTCCTGTCCACATGAGATTACTTAAATGGACTAAATTAGGTTGAATTTAAACCTTTTAATCCTTTAATGAGGTTATCTTATTGAAGAAATAAAATGTGCATGATTTGTGATAAATTTTTCACAACGAACCAATGAAGTGTTGACAGATGAAATGACGTGATATGTGGGTTTTCTCCACAATCACTGGGATGGGGTGACGAGGTGGGCATATCTACGGCCAAAAGCTGGCCGTGGGCAATGGCTGTTGAGGTTGGGCAATGGGCATGTGGGGGTTCATTAGTACTGTCGTCTCTACTTTTGCATAGATTTGACCTTGCTCATAATGAAAAGGTTAAAAATGAGAAACAACAAACCAAGATAAGAAAGAAAGGAAACCAGTAATTCATTGACCGTAATTTTTAGGCTTCTGGTCACTTGTATCATAGTTCATCAGCGTACATGTCTCTAACTTGTGAGGACGCGACGGAACCTACATCTGTCCTACGCTTCAAGCAATAACAAGAGCACGTCTCACGGAGGAAATCACATGCAATTCACCATTCGTCCCGGTCGGCGTCACAGTTACAGCCGTACTGAGGATCCAGGCAGTCCCTCTCTAACCCACAGGCACACTGGTGGGCGCCGGGAAAAGATCCTCCCCAGTAAGTGTGGGTCTCGTTGGCTCTTCCAGCCCACCAGCTCAGCGCCGTTCCATCTGAAACACAAATCGGAGAAAGGTGACAGCTGCCTGGCCCACTGTCCACCACCCCCAGGGACCCCTCGTCTCCCAGCTCATTAAGAAACCCACAGAGCAAAGAGAAACTCTGCTTTAAAATGGTTTTATTCTCAACACCGTAACAGAATATTGCTTCTTTAAGAATTATAACTGATCTATCTGATTACATTGTATTTCTTAACCCATCACTGGACCACGTATTTTATTAGGAAGTAATACCTAACTCCTTTCGTCACGGTAGTACATAATTTGGAACAGCAAAGTTGTGAAACTTCATCAGGAGCTGCATTAAGAAGTGAGTTGCCATCAAAATAAAAAAATGAACAAACAATCGAAAAGTGATTTGGAAGCTAAAGTTAACCTCTGTGTGAGATCCCGAAAGGCCTGTTGCAATAGAAACAGAACGAAGGCAGCACGTTCCTCTGAGCCCTCAGTCGGCCCCATGGGTTATTACTGAGCAGCCCTGGCTGCAGGCCTGACCCCAGCATCCTGTGACTCCCAGGTGGGGAGCACCCTGCTGTGGCTGGGGGGTTGTTTGGGGCTGAGTTGCGCTTGCTGTTCTGAGAAGGTGCCTGTTCACCTGCAGAGCCGCAGAAGGGAGGGGCAAACCCTCCACCTGCCTGACACAAACACCGTGTTGGGAAACCAGCAACCCCAGTGCCCTCTCAGGGATAAACAGGAGCCTCTGCATCCTGCCTGGGATCCCATGTCGGAGCTGGACCTCTCCGGAATGCTGCAGAATGAGAGGGACCTGGGCAAGCAACGCCCGCAGCACTTAGAAGACGGCCGAGAAGGGAGAGGTGGAGTCCAGCATATGCTGACCCAGGAAGAGGGCCCCCACCTCAGAGAGCCGGGCAGGAGGCAGCTGCTTCCGAGGCGCTGGCCATTTTCTGCGAGTGAAACCAAGGGTCCCACGAGGACCCGGAGCACGTGCCAGTCCCCTGGTGCCTTCTGACTCCACCCAGCGAAGCAGCCTTGGCTCACATGCTGTCGCCTCCCTGGCCAGCGGCTCCCAGAGGTGCTGGGATGAGTGCTGTGAGCATCACCCATGAAGACGAAAGCTCACCGCTGGGAGGCAGGAGGCGTTTAAAATGTTTAATAGATGTTTTTGATAATAACCCTTTAAAACTTTAATTACTTCACCATTATGCTTTCAAAAATCAGAGGGAGGACATTATTGTATTCCAACTTATAACTGTATTTTTACCATCTAAATTACTCATCTAATAACACTGGAATTATCAAATGGCTATAGTGATATCAAGGGTCTTCAGTTGCATTTGTGAGTTTTTAAGCATTCCAGAGATTTGGGGAAGGTTGAAGAAATAACAAAACAAGACAGCAGAAAAGAAAATAAGAAGAGAAATAGGAACCAGTCTACTGAACCAGGGAACGCACCCCACAGGCTCCCAACCCAGTCCCGGCCGGGATCTCCCGCCCAACCTCAGGGCCTCAGCCTCACACCCAAGGCCCTCCCTGCAGGGCTGGCCC